AAAGAAAACAGAGAACAAAGAAGAAGGAGGTAAAGAAGGGAAGAAGTAGAAGGGATGAAGAGAAGGAAGAAGGGAAGATGGGAAGTAGAAGAATGGGTGGAAGAAGAATTAGAGGCAAGAAGTAGAAGTAAGAGTAAGTAGAGGAAAATAGGACGAGACAAGAATGGAGGGAGGGGAAGCTAGTAATGGAGAGAATGGAAGCAGGAGGGGAGCAGGAAAGGAGAGAAGGGAAGCAAGAGCCAGGGGAGGGGAGAAAGGAAACAAGATATGAGCAGGAAAGCAGGGGAGTAAAGAATGAGCGGGACAGTAAAGAATGAGAGAAGTAGAGTATTAGAGTAGCCATAGAAATAATAATAATAAAGCATGTAATGAGAAGATTTTGAATTTATTATGGCCCATGACTCCGTATACAGCCGACACCGCACCCGCTTTCGGAAAAACCCTGGAAAAAGTTTGCTGGGCTGGCTCCCGGCAACTATCAGCAGAGGTGTGTTCATGATGATGAACTCTTATCTGGTGCCCTCAAAAATGACAGCACCTGCTCACGTCACTCACTATCACACTATTGGTAGCAGCATCTTCCCCAAGACTGAAGCAAATAATTAAGTTCAATTACTCACCCTTTGCTGAATTTCTTGAATGGTGGCCTGATGACACTGCGGCTTTTCACAACACAGTGGCGTCCAACTCTTACATTTGCTAGATCCCCTCGGATAATACAGTCGTTCATCACGATGGTCTGCAAAACAAGCACATGTAAAAAAAAAATTTACCAACATAGCCTCAACTACAAGTACATAAAAGACCAGATAACAACATACTGACGGAAAGTTACATTAGGATCCATTAAGCTATATGTTTTGTCAAGAGAAACTTTGTAAGGTAAAAAGAGTTGCCTTCATGTCATTAAATGTTAGAGATGAGCCCAGTCTATCAGAAGCTTTGCCCTTAATATTCCAAAAAGGATTCATTGAACAAACCAGCCTTTACTGAGAGCACCTATAGCAGACCTACAGTTGTGGTTAAGTGCCATCAAGTCGGTTCTGACTCATAGCGACCTGGGATAGGGTTTCTGAGGCGCAGCTGGTGAGGTTGAACCATCGACCTTGCGGTTCAAACAGACCTTGCAGTCCAGCAGTAGTTTTGCACAAATAACACACACCATCACCATGCAACTGCACACTTAAAATGAGTATGTTTTACTGTATTAAATTATGTCTCAAAAAAATTCATTCTCTTTCATGTTCCATAAAATATTTGTAAAAACTCAAGAAAAAGTTCAATGGTAAACGAAAGTTTATTTAATGGTTACCATGGGTGGGAGGGAAGAAAGGCTAATTCACTGGCTAGAGGGTTTTTGTTGTTGTTAAGTGCCGTAGAGTCGATTCTGACCAAAGAAATCCTTTGTAGGGTTTCCAAGGAGTGGCTGGTGAGCTTGAACCTCCAACCTTACAGTTCAAACTGTCTTTGCAGTCTAGCACATTAACCCACAGCGCCACGCCAAGAGTCCAGTAGACACATGTTAATGCAGGTGATGGGAAGGGCAATATACAAAAAGAGGGAGGTTGGCAAAAGAATAATGAAAACAGGTGAAGACACAGGGAGATTTGCAAGGGTTAAAGGGGACAGAGGCAAACAATGTTCCATACGCAACCCTCATCAACAGCACTCCGCGGGCAGATACGAGGGTATGTGAAGGAGAGGGAAAGCCTTCCCACAAGTATCTACGGGTTTGAAAGAGGGTATTTCTGCATGGGCTGTTGTTGTTAGGTGCCATCAAGTC